TGTGTGTGTGTGTGTGTGTGTGTGTGTGTGTGTGTGTGTGTGTGTGTAAATGCCCAGAAAAGGTCTGGGACGATATAGAGCCAACTGCTAATATAGGTTACTGCTAAGGAAGCAGGGATATTAGTAAGAGACGGGAAAAAAAGGAACTTTCACTTTTTCTCTCTTTACGTCTGTGTTCACATTTTTTTATGGAGAGAAAAAAGCTAGTGTAAAGAAAAGTACGCGGGACTTCCCTGGTGGCACAGTGGGTAGAGTGCCACGCTCCCAATGCAGGGGGCCCGGGTTCGATCCCTGGTCAGGGAACTAGATCCCACATGCATGCCACAACTAAAGAGTTCGCATGCCACAACTAAGGAGCCCACGAGCCACAACTAAGACCCGGTGCAACCAAATAGATAAATATTAAAAAGAAAAAGAAAAGTACCCTCCTTTCCTCTGTGCTCCTTGTCTAACTCCCTCATCTACCAGAGCCTTCTGCAAGTTCCCACTCCTTACTGCACTTTTTGGGACAGTGAGTTCCTCCAAGGTCTCTTAGTTTTTTCTTTTGAAGGAGGAACCCTGGCTGGGAGAGTTGGACGTGACCTGGATCCATATCAAAGGCCCCCGTGACGTTGGAGCGGACCAGTAACAACCCAACATCCATCCTGGCCTTCTGACCTGCATCCCCTGCTCTGGCGGCCAGGTCGTCCAGTAGACCCTGCGGAGACAGCCTGTGGGGTGAAGCCCCTTTGAGGGGGGCGGCCTGCAGCAGGGGAGGTGCATGGGAAGGAGCCCAACAAGGCTGTTTGGTCGTCACCAACTCTGATCTATTCTATGCTGACACCTCTGCAAGCAGGTGCGGCCACCTCCAGTTCGTCCAGGCTCAGCTAGGGAACTTCACCCTGTCCCTCTCCTGCGATGAACCTGGCTTCAGGTGCTCGCAGTGTTGACACCCGGCCAGCTCGCGACTCAGTGGGTCGTAGCCACCTGCTGCTGCTGGTGTTTTACTGGGATGCTTCTTGAGGATAAGGAGAAGTTTCTATCCTAAGTTCATTTCCCGGCGTTGAGGATGGAGGTACTTCCCCAGCCACAGGATCCACCTTCTCACCAGTGCTTCCTGAAAGTTAAAACATTGGCAAGAAGTCAGGTGACCGGTCAGAAGCCATATGACGCAGCCACTCCCATCCTCTCGCCTCAGCCAGACTGGACACCTGGGTGACCTGCTGCTCCTGAGGGTCCCCAGGGCCGAGGAACCCTCTGACTGGGCTTCTTGGTGATGGGAGCTGATGCAGGGCTGCACCACTTAGGATGCCTACAAGGCCAAGGTGACCCAAACCCTGTCCAGCTCATCTTAGGCACTCCATCCCCTGCCCCAACACCACCTGCAGTTGCTCCAGCATGCCTGCTCCTGCCTGCCTCCGGGCCTTTGCATAAGCCAGTAGGTCTCAAACTTGTGTGGGTATCAGAATCCCCCCGAGGGCTTACTCAAGATTTCTCGGCCTCATCCCCAGCGTCCTCGATTCAGTAAGTCTGGGGTGAGCCCCAAGAATCTGCATTTCTAACAAGTTCCCAGGTGACCTCATGCTGCCCACCCAGGGACCACCCTTTGAGAATTGCAGATGTAAGCCATCGCCTCATCTGTCACTCCCTCGGGAAGCCTTCCTGGACTTTTCCAAGAGACATGAGTGTCCCCCACCATGTGCTTTCATGGGACCTGGTACTTCTGTTCATGACACTTATCACATTTTGCAATTACTATAAATTTGTGAAAATGTTAAATTGATGCCCGTCTCCCTCTTAAGCGTACGTCTGTTTTGTTTCCCCTTGTCTCCCTGGTGCCCAGCACAGTGCCTTGTACATAGTAGGTGCTCAACAAATAGCTGCTGTATGAATGAATGAGTGAATGAATGAATACATGCAAAAGACACTCAGAAGCTTGTCGTGGTTACCACTGGCTCAGGCGACTCTGGGTTCTAGTAGCACAATGAGGGGAAGTGGAGGGAGATGGTTTGGAACGCAGCTGCGGGGGTTCAGACCCAGCTGGTGTTACTAGCTGTGTGACCTTGGGTTCGTTACTTAACCTCTCTGTGTGTTTCCTTGCTCATCTATACAATGAGACTAGTAAGGGTACCCAGTTCACAGAGTTATATGAGGAGTAACTGAGTAATCCATCTAGAAGGCTTACACGCATGCCTGCCACATGTTAAGTGCGATCTAAAATTATGTCTTATTGTTATCAAAGTGCCTGGCAGTGAGGCCCTTCTTGCTTTTATCAGACTCTGTCCAGGGATCAGCTTCTGGAGAGGTCCCTCTGGTAGACTTGGGTAAGACCTAGACGAAGGAATTAACCCAGAGTCTGCATTTGGATGGACTTTCCCAGAATTTGCTGTGCCCACCTGCCCGGGCTCAATGATGGTTGCGGGCAGTGTGTGTCTGCGGGGTGGGGACATGGCTGCCGCCCTTCTGCCTGTCCCCACGTGCTTGGAGCGGGCGTTTCTGACCTTCCCTCACTGCCTGCCTGGCATGGAGCTGACTCACCGCCAGGAGCGGGTGGTGATTAGTATGCAGGGCAGGTACTGGGAGGAAAGCTGTCTCCACGCAACAGCTCTTGATGTGTTTCTCTGATTAATGTGGCAGAGAGAACATTGCAGCTTTTTCCTGAATGGTTGCCACGTGGAGCCGGAGTCATTAGCATTGCATCTCCCGCTTGCCGTGACCTGCTGACCACCCTAAGTAGATAAAAATGAAAATGGCCAAGACAGCTGCAAGGCTCAGAAACAAACTGCCTGGTGGCTCTGCAGCCACGGGAGAGTCTTTCATGTGGAAGTTTTCCGGAACGGCCCCGCCTTCCCCATCCTCTCGCACCCCTGCTAAACTAACTAAAGCCATCCTTAAAGTTTCTGCTTCTGTCACTGTTGGTCTCCAGTGAGCGCAGAACCCCTTTCTGAGCAATGGAGCCCAAGTATGAGTGTAAGCATCATTGCCTCCCCCGCAGGTGTGTGCCCAGGTGAAACATGATGGGAGGAGGGGAAAGGGTACCAGGTAGAGGGATCAGATTGGGTGAAGGACGAGGTGGTGGGAGGGAGCTAGAGCACTGAGGGGTCCGTGCTGGGCAGAGAGAGCAAGTGGGGTGGAGCAAGAAAGGGGACTGGGGACCCAGACTTTATCCTGAGGGCAATGGGGAGTAACATCGCATGGAGGGATGGTATCTCATCAGCGGTAAGACCAGGCGTTATAAAGATCCCTGTGTCTCCAGCGTGATGGATATTGGGGGCCCCGTGTAGACGTGTGGGGAACAGTGAGGAGGCCATGGCCATAATCCAGGTGGGTGCTGCTGCCTTGAATTAACACCACACGTTCCTCAGGGCAGTTCCTCCCAAACCCCGGGAGTTGGGGTATCAAAAGCTTGCGTTGCTCGGGGAAACTGAGACAAGCAGTGTTGGCTTGGGAGGTGACAGCCTCAGCAGGATGGGAGTGATGGTGGGGAGGAGTTCCTTCTGTAACTTTGCTCTTTCCTTGGCTCTGTGGGGCTGGATTCATGTTACCGTGCTGTTCTGAATTAGTGGTCTTGGATTTTTTTCCCCCTAATTTGCTATTTTCGTTCTCTGGGTCTCAGTTTCCCAGTCTATGCAGTGGGGGAGGGGCAGGGAGCTCAGAGAATGGCCCCTGGGCTTCCTGGGAAGGATAATGAACGATAAGACGGGCCCAGGTAGCGCGCTTGAGGTCCTGCCAGCTCCATGCCCCCCCCACCCCCCGCCACGGAGCCTCTGCCACCACCCCCGCACATCACCGGCACAGCCCCATTTGGGTACTGGTCTTCAAAGCCAGCCCTACCGCACCCACTCGCCAGGGAGCAGGCCTCTGAACTCAGCCCAGGCTGGAAGGGAATGAGCAATGGCGCTAATTGCGGAGTCGGCAGGAGAGGCTGGGAGGAGCAGCGGAGAGAGAGAGAGATCATCTTGTGATGCGCCAATTACTGATCAGCTGGGACATAATTGCGGGGCCGCCATCCCGGCTGCTGGAGGTACCAGGCCTCCCTCTCGTTAATCAACGATAATCCAGAATGACGACCCTTAATGATTTGCAAAGACACACACACACACACACACACACACACACACACACACACACACACA